CGAGAGGATTGATTGTTGGAGTAGGAGAGTTCTCGCATAGACTTTTAGGTAGTTTTATCTTATGCTAGAAACTCCCCTATTAGTTTACTCCAACTATTCGAGCACACCCTTCTCCACTAAGGGCGGTCCGACACGTCTCCTGACATACCCTTCGGGCATGTGTGTGTCGACACACTCTAGTCGGCATTCACCTTATGCGGTTATCGTTTCTGTGGCACATTTCCATTGTCCCCGCCGGAGTGAAAACTTCTGCGCATCGGCGTCTTGCCAGTGGCGAACAGTCAAGACGCCGCATGAACTAGACTATCTATGACACCCTTCCCATGTGCATTGATTTCTACTTGGCCCCGGAAGCTATCGTGAGCGTTTTTTCTATCTACTATTTACGGTTCATGGACTGCCGGTGTCTTCCGCAGGACAAAGTAGTTGGGGAGTGATCCAATGGGCGCTACCCATGACCACTACCTCAGATGCACCTCACCTGTGGTAGGAATCATGCTTTTGGTGTCTCTGCACTTCCCTTTCAGAGCCTATGATGTTGGGGACACTTTCAGGCTTGGTAGGTGTAAAACTCTCCCAGTCGCCCCGGCACCACCCGGGACTACCTTTGGGACCCCCACGGTTAACACCCGTTAACTCCGCCAGTTTTGGTCCATTTTACTCAGAACAACTTGGAGGAGGTACTCCACCTTCCACCCTATGCCCCCTTTTATATCCTGCGAACAGCTTATGGTCGACCGGACGGCAGCAATGTATACGGTGTTGCAAGCAGGTCTCCAAGGATTCCACTTTGCTAGACTGCACACAACTATGCAACCGTTTGCCCATGACGTCCGGGCCTCAAGGCGGGGCCGGAGGGGTATGATAGGAATAATGTCTCCAATTTGCAGCCTCTTCGAAGCTGCGTAGCTCGCCCAATAGCATCTCCCAGAACCCCAGATTCCAGTATTATGCATGGTTTCGTGTGACAAACATTCTGGTTATTTTTCCCGGACTCACCAAGGGACTTCATATTGAAAGGTAGGGTAACTCAGGACCTTGGGCAGGGTAACCAAGGCCCCATGGCAGGGTAACCTGATCCAGAGGGTAGGGTAACCTGTCCGGTGGACAAGATGACTTTTCCCTGTTACCTTGTCTATCCCGTCGCCGGAGAAAGACACTTCTGACCTTTCTCCAGTTACCCTGCCTAGCTGAGTAACCGCCCCTTCAGAGGTCCCTAAGTACGCTGACACCGCTCCTGGGTGTATCCAGGTACCTAAGTCCCTGATCAGCCAATTCTGTTCATTCTCGGAGCCCGGGCTATCGGGTCTCCACAGGTCAAGTACTTACTTACCTGCCAGTTTCTACCAGTTCGCCTCCTAGCTCCCTGTATGGGTGTAGGTTCTGTCTGCCATAGCTCATGCATGCTGGGTCATTACAGATGTTTGGTTCATATTACAGATATTCTGTAACTGATAACAGCCAACTTGAAAAGCTGTAAGTTGTTCATTTCTGGGAATATCATCTGGATGCATCTGGTGGTTGTGGTGATTAAACTTAGAATTCATTACGGGTTTTCTGGGGCGCTGAAAAATATGGACTCCCAGCCCCATTTCCTACTCCAGGCCACTCACTCGTCTGGGGCGGGGTATTTTTGTAAGCTTTCTCCAACCTGTTATCTATGTGGGACTCTACCTCATCTATGCCCTGAACAGGCTCCTGTCAAATTTGGATGGCAAGAAATAGGGCCCTATACAGAGAAAGACCAGGGTTGAGCTCTAGATGGGGGTAGGACAGGGAAAATGTACAAAATATGCCCCCTGAGCCTGTGTAATAGTGGGGCCATTATTGGTAAAACCTGCTCTATCCTGCCCCGTAACAAATAGTAATTAACCTATTGCCAACCAACTATTGTATTAGCAAAGTCAGTAGGTAACTGACTGGCTTTATTGGTTGCAAAGTGGAGACTAATTTGGTCCCATGCCAGATACTGATATAACTAGCTATAGGAAAAGATGAAGGTATTTGAAGTATCCTGAGTACTAGGATAGTGTTTAAGCAATAGCTCTCTGCTGACTCTGTGAAACCAGCTGTATCTGACAAGTCTCCCCTTTTCCCTCTATTCTCTAAACCTTTGAAATAGTTCTTTTTCCATTTCTGACCACATCCTTCTCCTTCCTCCTCCAATCACCCTTTACTGATTTCCTCTCATGATAGTAAACTTTCTATCCTTCTCTTATTCTTTTAATGTAGGGGGTTTATTGCTGAAATCTTAAATCTCTGGCCAACCTCTGCCTGTATTACTTCACAAACCTTGGTTGGGCTGTATTGTATTTTTGCTCCCATCCAATAAGTGAGAACATGTAATTTAAAGTCAACTATATAGGAGTGATATGGGTTTTCTACTTTCCTTCTCATGGGTCTTAGTTGCTGTGAGATAGGCTTCCTCTTTGACCCCCTCTTTTTTTTAATACCAGCATAAAATCACTTAACTGATAGTAGAAAAAGATTGGTCTGGATAGGTATATGGCCACAGGGTTGGGACAGCTTGTAGACTCTTGTCTTCGGCTTCTGGTTTGGAAAAGTAGAAATTGTTTTATCTGAAGAACTTGTATTTAGAAATCAATTGCATATTTGTTTATATTCTTTTCAGGAGTTCCAATACCATGGTGTTTAGCTAAGATTGACATGTTTTTGATTTATAATGTTGTTTTACTTTAAAGACATTTTCAAGACATGAGTAGCAGCTTCACACCTTATTTCAACCCCTTAGGACACTGTCAAATTATTCGAGTTTTTACGGTAGGGAAAGACCTAGCTATATCACAGCGCCTACACTCCTGATCACATTCCCCGGCAAACCCTAACGACAGCAAGGTGGAGGATGAGGGGGCGCAGAGAGGGTGAGAGTTAGACCTAGACCCAAGAACCAAAGAACACCTAACCGGCATCTCCGTCAAGAGTGGCATGTGCATAGTCGAAGACGAAGAAACCAACGCTTCCACTGAGCGCGACAAGGAAGGAGCCAAAGCCAAACGCCTGAAAAGGGACAAAATCCTCCTGAAAGAACTCTACAACGCGAAATCCTCCCACCGAAAAACCAACCTTGGAGATCTCTACGAGCACGCATACGTCCAGGGTGGAGAAGCGATGGAAACGATCGAGTCAGCAAACGAGTACCTCAGCTGATCAGTGGATGATGCTCGAAAGTGCTTCAAAGCGGTAATTTGAGGCCACGGTGAGACTCCTGGAGTCAGGTTCCTCTACCGGCACCAGACGTCCCGTACGTCCCCATACAAGACCAACACCACGCAGAAGTTTTGTAATTCTCGCAACTTATAATACAAAGCCAAAGCCGAAAGCGATATCTACCCTTCATGCAGTCGTACCCCAATGCCCCCGCAAAACCCACAGGTCAGCCAGCGCTCCAAACCCAAATGAGCTCTACCTCAGCCAACCCTCAGTCTTCTATTACCTCATGTTTATGATAGTACCAAAATGACTGATAAGCATCCGCCAATCCCTCCGGACAGCTTTCGTCACCACCAACCTCTCCAGGAGTTCGATAATCTTCTCAAAGGACTCATGGGGTTTCTCAGTGACAGATTCGGGATTTGACAAAATAGCGTTAGCATAGACGTTCAGGACTTCAACAGTCTGCTCATGCTCTGAACAAGTTAGCCAAAACATTTTCAAGAATAGCATGGATTACTCGATGATTTTTGATGCCAGCTCAGGTTCCAACCCGAAAAGTGCCTTAAAGGTGTTGGTGTCTTTTCTTTTTGGCCCCCCTTGCGCCCCCCCCCTGGTGACATATACGTAAGAACTCGAATAATCGGTCCATGTGCTAGGACGTTGGACTTGCCTCTCTCGGTAAGGTCTGGTATTTTTTTTCTTTTAATTGTCACGGAGGCCATGTTTTTTGGTGTGTATTTGACCCCTATTCCAGAGGAGGAAATTTCGGACTACATAGCACATGGTCCGTTTATTCGAGTTCTTACGGTAGAGCATGGCATCGACAAGGACATCTCTTTGATGTGCCGCCATATTTCCTTCCCAAATAATTTTGCGGTCCAAATTGCGTCGCTTTTTAAGGATGTCACGTTTAAAGATGCTCATGAACCGATTTCGCACCCGCTTGTACCCTTCTGAGGAAATCCTCAAACAGAACACTTCCTCCTTAAGTCCATCGAGCTTCTTTTCCTGTGACGCAAGCTTCTCTTGCTGTGACGCAAACGTCTTTTCCTACGACGCAAGCTTCTCTTGCTGTGAGGCAAGCTTCTCTTTCTGCAAGCCAAGCTCCTCTTTCTGCGAGGTGAACTTCTCTTCGATTGTGGCAAGTCGCGTCGCTAAACCAGCTAGGTTGAGGCCAAGACGATTACCGACAAAGGGTTCATTCATCGCATTCTTAATGTGAAGTTCCTCCCGATCTAGCACCCGCGCGAGCGCATTTTTGGCTGTCCTTATTTCTTCTCCGTCTCTGACTTTCGGTCTGGTAGCCAGTATCGCATTGAATGTCCTGCTCTCATTACTTCTCTGCGTACTCATATTAGTAAGTTGACTGCAATAGCTGATGCTCCAGATAACTTACGAAAGTGGAGGCTAACATGCAATTTCCCATCATCCCCCGCCCCGTGATGAATCGGAAACGCAAGCGGGAAGGGGGGGGATGTCCAAACAGTAGCATTTCGATATGTTGCAATGCGATTGAAAGTGCGTTCTGTTGGTATAAAGTAAAGATTGAGGTCCAAACCGATGGAGAAGAATACTTAAATAGAGCTTTGTCAAGCTACAGTTACCCCGCTACTAACCGAATTTTCTCCGACATTTTTGCCGACTACGCGGGTTGTCTATCAATTCATTGCAATATTTTTGGAGATGTGACGTAATCTAGGATGGTTACAGCATCATCATACCAGTCCTCAAGTATGTAGTCTATGGGCCGTAGGATATTGTCCACCTAAGTAACGACGAACCAATGCTGTTAATGATGCTTTGACATATGGCTAATATTATCAGGTGGTCTCGTGGTGTGGTTGGTATTACATTTGACTGTCATGTTCAGTTCACTGTTCGTCACCAGTTCGACTCTGGTCAAAGGGACCTTTTTTTTCTTCTGCAAGGAGAGAGTTCACCTCATCATGTGCAAGGCCACCCCCGAGAATCGCCACTGTTTGTTGCTGGGCCGATCCCGGAATGGAAAGCGTAGTGGGAACGGCATCGCTGGGACTTGGGATCCCCTGATGCATGCTAGACATTTAGATGTGATGGTAATAGCTGGGAATCCGTTCGACCGAGCGCTGGTGATAGAGAAGGATGGAGTGGTGGTGACTACTGGCGACCCTGCCAGGTGTGGCTGATACCATTGGGAGTGTGTCAGTGCGGAATGAATCCTCCCAGGTATGCGAGCGGGGGAGCGGCCTCCCCATCTATATTCGACGAGCTGCCCCGTTGCCTGGTCTGTGGCATTCAGTTTAGCATTGCAAACTGTCAGCGCGATCGCCGGAAACATTTACACTTGAGCGATTGGGGCCAGGAGTGACTTCGGCAGTGCTAGATCTCATGGTGGGTGGGTTGGGAACACAGGCCTTTGGCATTTCGGACGTGGGTCACATTGTGGTGGGCTAGGGAACCGTCGTTATCCTGCCCACTTACCGCCTACAACACCCAGCGAGCTAGTGGTCAGTAATCGCCCTGCCCGGGAACCGTCGTTAATCCTGTTCACTTACATCCTACAACCCCTAGCGAGCGAGAGGTCAGCAATTGTCTCGCCATCCAGCTGTGGTTTATCCTATCCGATCACCAACTAAACACCCCGTGAATGTCATGTCAGCCATTTTCTCAGGTCTAGATCATACCTTCTCTAGTTACTTACAAGCTATAGAGCACACGGCAACCCCCCTATCAGCAATTCTAACAAGAAGCGCTGCTATTCACTGGTCCTCTTACCTCCTACCTCTCCCCGAAAATCAGTAGGGCTCTACTTCTTCTTCCAAGCTCATGGAGTCTAACTTATGCACTACGCTCATCAGCCACTCCTAAATTACTCCAGTTTGCGGTCAAACATCATGAATGGGGTTCTCTAACCGCCTACCATTCCGAACCCTCCTACCGACGACAACACTATTACACCGATGTTGCATGATCAAGGACTTCAACTGACCCTCTACATCATAGGGAAACAGGCTAACTCTCAACTGCAGGTCCCTTCTGTGACCAAAGATTTACATACAGTCTGTAGGATAAGGTGAAATCACGGTCAGCGGTGGGCTAGTCAACATGTACGATTGGCCCTTTACAAATAAGATGTTATACTCCTTCCAGTTCAGAATAAAATCGACTCTCCTCTTTATCAGCATTTTCACTATGTCCTTCTCTTTCCGGACACCCGCTATGTTCAATACGGTGCCATATAATTCAGATCTACTATTAATACCTCCTTAAACAGACGCTTAATCGCGGACCGCTGCCCAAACCACGATGCAATCATCAGATGCGTAAAATCATTGGGGAAGGGAAGGTATGCTGGCCGGCCACTGTTTCCGCAATACATCCTAAGCCATGTCAGTAATCTCTTCGACCCAGTCTTGCAAATCAAGCGAGTAGACCCAAGTAGCTCCATCTACCATTTCCCCAAATACTGGAGGTGGCCTGCCCAGTGGCTCGCTGCGTAATCGAGAAGGGAATAACGTATTCGGGGCTGCTATAGGTCAGCACCTAGCTATGGGTTAGTTACTTTTACAGTACACCAGCTACAAAAAGGGCAACTACACAATCAAGATTACTCCAGTTACTTCCCAATTGTAATCATAGCTCCATAATACTATGTTGTATAGGTCCATCAAATATTATTTATGAAAAGTGGTTAAAGGAAAGTAGAGAGATACAAAGTGTATAATACTGTATAATAGGCTTTAATTATAAGTACCTTCATCGGAATCAATGATATAATTAACCTAATAGCTTGTAGAATAGTAGAAACATTGCACAATTCTCCTCAAAGTGTTATTTTTGTGATTTTGCTGCTAGAAAAGGTGAGCTATTGAAATATAGTGGTATCACAAACAGTAATGGGGGTGGAAGATTGGTTATATTTTCGGATGGGCTTGAGAACTGAATGGAGGAAGGTAGTGAGGCTTACTGGTAAGGCAGGTTAGTTAGACTTTCGCATCATGACTCAGATTGGGGTCATGAGGTCTCAGATGACTCATGGTTATGAGTCATTGGTACATTATGATTCGTAGATGAGTGTGAATGACTTACAGTTACAAGTCATATGAATGTAATGACTTTTGCACATAACAAGAATAGTAAGTCATAGGTCTCACGAATGTGATACAAGTAGTATGGTGGCGGACGTCCAAAAGGTGTACTAGTAGGGGATTCAAAATGTAATACCTTATATAATCAGAGTCAGGGGTGATTGCCAAGAAATGAAGATGGAGAAATCTGAAGTTCGAGTCACAGTGGTGGTTTAGTTATTTTGTTAGTTGTTTTTGTATTTGTCATAATGTATTTCCTATAGTCTACAGAGAGAGTAAAAATACAGACCGTTTATTTCCATCTTTGAAGTCTATATTGCCTGAATCCACATCTTTATTATTGCTAAAAGTAGCCAATATGTCTTCATTGGACTCTTCCAACCAAAATGGATGAAATACTTCAATCACAAATTTCTGATGTCTGCCTTTATCAATGAATCTGCATACTCTCAAATCCACAGCCCGCAGAGAAAAGAAAAAGAAAGCTCAATTGAAGGTGAGTAATTCTTTTGATTTGGTAAATGTCAAGTATCATATTGTATGAAAGGGCTAATACTTGCAAAAACAGAATGGAGAGATATGGGAAAAGGAACCTAGTGCAAATGCTCTTCATATTCATAAATACTGTGAAAAGCAGGCTCCCCAAAAGGCACAACTAGCACTAGCTTCAGATTCACAAGCAGTACCTCCCACTGAGCTGGTACTTCAATTACAGCAGCACAATGAAGACAGCCTACTTGCCCAGTAATTGCAACTTGATTCTAAGAGTTGGCCTTGACATCGAATGTTTATTGACAAGCCATGTCCTCGACGTCTATTTATCCTGCAGTGAGCATATTGAGCAATGCAGTGCAAAGTGTCCAATTACCGGGGCAAAATCAAAAACTGGCCTACAGACCTATTTTTAAAATATCACTTTCAAGTATATTTGTTTCTCAAACTACAATTGCAGAATGAGGAGAAGGCCCTCCAGGGTCCTGATATATTCTCTGGAGCAGTGAGAAAACTACTAACATGTAAGCAGCTTGCACAAAGAGGGGTGGATGGTGGGGGGTGGAGATGGAAAGTATAAAATGGAATTATGGTGCATCAGGTGTCTTGAGTACAAAAGAAACTAATACCAAAACCAAATTGTGAAAGAGAAAGAATGGTAGTAACCTTATTGGAAGATCCAGAAATGATGTTGGCAGTGTACCAGTATATCCTCCAAGTAGGAGAGAGTAAGTCATCTCTATTCTGTTGCATACTTTTAGAATATATCCATCATGGCAGAGTAGCTGACTAAGAATGAACAGAGTTAATATCACATAGGTTAGCCAAAGCAGTTGTAGCCCACTGGCAAGAAGTACAAACTGATGATGACATTATAAACCGGTATGCGAACATTGTTACAAGAGAGGTTGAGAAAACTATCGAATCCTGGACTGCAAGAAGATGGTTGCGCAAATTGGGATTTAAATATAAAGAGTATTGAAAGAGAGTTTATAATGACAGTCATGAGTAGCAAGACATTAAAGACTATTGAGATAAAGAGTTTCTTTCTTGGATGGAAGCATAGAAAGAACAGTTCCTTTGCTGGGATGAAAACCGTCAAGAAATCCCATATCCTCTCCATCTTGATGGCCAAATACAGTTCTTAATTCTAGTCACTCAAGATGAGTGTACCTTTAATTCGATTGATGGAAGACACTCTATCTGGATCCATCCCGAGCACTAACCATTGTGCAAGAAGGGCAGAGGCCAAGGATTGCATGTCTCTGACTTTCTTACTCCTATTGGATATCTGGGAGATAATAATGCTTGTGAGATTATAAAATGTGGCAGTGATTCTTGATGGACTGAGGATCGGCTACTTGAACAGGTGGTTGATAAAGCTATCCCCGCCTTCGAAGTACAATTTCCCGGGTGCAAGGCCCTTTTTGCTTTTGATAATTCACGCAATCATTGCAAGTTCACCCTGGATACATATCGTGTATCAGAAATGAATCTAGAGCCTAGAGCAAAGAATGTAAAGCCAATGCGAGACACATATATTGTCGATACCAATTGATCCAGATGGTGGCTATGTATAGTCCTTAAAATTTCTAGATGGAACACCTAAAGGACTGAGGCAGGTATTGGTTGAACGTAGCTTGTAGCCAATAAATCAACAGTTCCTTACACAATACACAATTAAATCAACAACCGATAAATCAGCAAAATTGAATCCCCGTTGCCTTAATGGAAGAGACTGTTGTGCATGTGTGCTTCTGGCAGCCCAGCCTGATTTTCAAAGTCAGAAAAATCAAATTGAGGTAATCATTAATACTAGCCATCAGGTAATCTATTACCCTGCATTCTATTGTGAAATTAACTTTATAGAATATTTCTAGAGTGCTGCCAAGCATTACACATATGAGAGATGTGAGTATAACTTTGAGTTATTAAAGCATTTAGTTCCAGAGGCATTAGCTAGTATACCAAAGTAGTTGATTTGGAAGTACTGGGCACATACCAATAGAATAATGGAAGCATATCGGTCTGGTATTATATATACTACTCCTGAATATGAGCAGATTGTACATAGATGCTATGCCTTTTATCGTTGTGTATCCACTTAGTATTTGTCATGATGCTATAATCAAATTGATAAATTCAAGTTTGTTTTACCACTTTAAATCAATTACAACATTATCCCTAGTTCTATTTCCTATTTTATCTGTTAAAACATGCATACATAGATGTGGTCAAACAATGCATCATTGGATTTCTTTAAATTACCTCTTACCCTGATTATATAAGGCATTACATTTTGAATCCCCTACTAGTACACCTTTTGGACGTCCACCACCACACTTGCCTCAT